TTTGTAAATCCATTTTTTTTTTTTTTTTATAAATTTCCACTGGAATTTTGTAAAGTTCTAGGAGCTTTAATAAGTTTTGTGATATTTCAAAGTGCCGGTGAGAGTTTTGTGTGGTCTCAAAGAGCTTATGAATGCTTGTGCTGAGTAGATTGAGTGGATTTCGAGTGGAAAATTTGTGGAATCTTGTTTTTTGTGGATAATTATTTTAATATTTTTTTTCACTAAAGAATATCTACTTGAGAAATGGTAGGTGAAATAGAATATGGCGGTCACTTTCTGGTTGTTTTATGCTTTTTTGGTGTTAGGCAATGCAAATACGAGAACGAAGAGAGAGAGAGAGAGTGAGAAAGCAATGAAGAGCGGCGCCCGCATTGATGGAGTGCTTTTGCTAATTTGATTTTAGTTTGTTTTTAACCGCAAATTTTATGTTCAAATAGTTCAAAGCTAATGAGTTAACTTGATATGATAAATTTTTCAGATATTCCGTGATGAATTTCTGTGCTTTTTTGCTTACTGAGCTTGAGAAGAAGGCAAAGATTTGGTATTTATTTGGCTTAAGGTTGTTGGAGACAGGAGCCCCGGAGACTTATAAAAAGGTTTTTTTTTTTGGTGTTATTTTATTAATACAGCTTTTTAGTTAAGAATTTTATGATTTCGGAAATAGCTTACCGTTATTTTCAATTTTTAAATACCATTGTCATATATAACTAGTACTAGCTTTTTTCTTGTACATATGTATGTATGTATATTAAATACTCGTATGTAGGACATAAACAAACTCTTATTTTTATCTGCTTTTTGTATATAATTTAAGTAGTTAAAATTATTTGTTAATTTTCTGGAATTTATAGGCTGTAGCTTAAAACCTTAAAACGCTTTTGCTTCATATGTTATTTTAATTAATTAATTTTTTATTTACTTCTTATTGTATTGGATTTGTTATTTTACTTAAATTTTGCAGGCGACTAGAATAAGTCGGTAAGTACATGTTTTTAGTTTACTTTACTCTATTGTTTTTTAATATTTTTTTATTTTATTTTTTCTTTTTGTTAGAAAAATATTCTTTAAATTCTATTATAAAATTTTACTTGCCTTGTTTTTATATATTTATGTGGTTAATGATTTATTTTTAGATTTACATATGTACCTATGTATGTGTGCTTTTTTGTGGGGTAAGAAAATTTTGTGTTGTGTGGAAAAGTGCATGGATGGAAGCGTGATATAAATTTTTAGAATATTTGAATGTCATTACCAAACCTCAGTCTAATTCCAAAAAAAAAAACTTGACAAAAAATGCTTTTCAGAATTTTGTTGCCTACATTTAGGAGCAAATTTGTGACTTAGACTTAAGATTTGTAAAGTGAACCTCACCTAACATAAACGGTGGGGGAGATCTCATTGCATGCCTTGAGACATATTTTTCTTGCTGTTAACAGCTAAAATGGAAGGAGTTTTCCGTTTCGGTTAAAAGAATCTCACTGCATACTTTCAAGCGCATTTTATTATTTTAGTTTAAAGTCCACAGACTGAGCAGTCAATAATATGCCCGTTCATCGTTCATCGCAGTGAAGCAAATAATGCATTTGGGCAGAAGAATGCTTAAGAAATTAATGGTATTTCGGAAAACTCATAATCTCGGTGTAGAATGAAATTTTTTAAAATTGTAATATTAGTACTTTTCTCACACTTGTTAGGAAAATCCCTAGACAAACCTCTTGCTAAAAATTCCAATAAAATTTATGGCGCACAATTCTGTAACCATCAATGACGGTACCCTCCCCCCAATCGAACCGAGTGGCAGAGAAATAAATAAAAACACCATTTAAATTTTTTTGTTTATTTTCTCATTGAAGGAAATAGTGAAACGTTAGAGTTTTATTTACACACAAAACTAATCTCGTACACGCTTTTTTCTGTTTTTGTTTTTATTTTTGTTTATGTTTTTCTATTTGAACGCATTATTTGCTTTTGTTTGTTTATCATTTGTTTTAACTAAATTAAATCAACTTTTCACTTTTTCATCATTTAATACTAATAAAAATTGTATATACTAGTACATATATATGTATGTTGTATTACTGTATTGTATATCATATGTATATAATAGCGCATTTGCTTGCATACTAACACTACTACATACGTATGTATGTACATATGTATGTATGTAACTAAATTTCGTAAAATTATTCAATTAATAATTACAGTTATAATAAAATAATAGAATAAAACATTCGCAAAGTGCTAGTTATATATTTAAAGGTAGGTATGTATGTTTATGTGGTGATGAGGTTTTTTGTAAATTTATTCCTTTTAATTGCATAAATTGTATCCATATACATATCAATATAATTTAGTTTCTTAATTTTTTTCTACACACATAATTCCTAACGCAGTTTTTCAATTAAATAAATTTTTAACAAATTTCAGATAAATTTTTTTCTTCCTAATTATACATAAAAAAAAGTACAGAGCGCGCATAATAAACAGCATTTTGTAGATTAAAGTTATTTTTTTTTATCCAATTTCCTTTTCGAAATATAAGAAAAGCAAATTTTGTTAACCGAAAAGCAAAAAAAAATAATAATAATAATAATAATAATAGTTTCTAAATGAGCGAAAAATTGAACAAATAAGGAACTTTAACTTTTCTACGATTTTACAACTAAACTAAAGCAAAAGTTGAGTGTATAAAGGAGGCATAACTAAATATACATTAATTTTATTTAATATGCATAGTTTGTGAGAGTGGGTGTGGTTGTAGATTTTTAGTTTTTAGAAAAATATTTTTTTTTTTTTTACTTTTAAAGTTTTAAAGCAAACTTCCACTTAAAATTCCAACAATTTATTTTATAGTCATTTTAAGAACAATAATTACTAGAAATAATATTCTTTTACTTGCAGCCACTTTCAATGAGCTGAACATATTGAAGCTACATGCACACATAATTGCACTTACACACATGTGTAGACGTATGCATGTGAAACCTGAGTCTGATGTGCAGAAAAATAGCGTTAATATTTTAAATATTGAAGAATTTCCAAATAAAAATCAAGGAAAAGGCGCCTTGTGATGATACATATATTACAATTATATTATTTTCTAAATTTGTTATAATTAATTTATTTTTATATTTCGCGGCAAAATAATTTTTTAGGCAGAAAATTATAACCAATTTTAAACATAAACTTATTCGCAACAGTTCACAGCGCTATTTCGCTTAGAAAATATAGTTTTTTTTTTACGAAAATCAGCTTATATAACTCGCAGACACGAAATCCGTCTTCTTATAGAAATTTATCACTCCACTGTAGTAGTGTAATTGTAGCTACTACGTTTAAAAGAAAAAATTTAAAACGAATATATATATATATATATATATATTTTTTTTTGTTTGAGAAAAGCTAACGATGTTTCTATTCAATATGCTGCTGTACAGCAATCATACATACATTTATTAAATCTGTTAAATAATAAACTTTGCTTTGGTTTGTCCGTTGGGCTTTTGACTGAGTACAAATTTTTCATATAATTTTCAGATCTTTTTTATTTTAAGCAGCGTCATTGATATAGCAATTTCTTTAAATTGAAATAAAATATAGTTTATTTTTTTAAAACAGGACTTAATGAGAAGAAATAGTTGTTGTGCTATACATTTTCGATACACTACTTGAGTTATTATTTCTGTTAATGGTTGTTTTCTTATTTTATTTTCCAATTTTTTATAATCATTTTTCATTTTATTTTTTATGAATTTAGTAATTTATTTATTTTTTTTTCTATTTTTATTTTTTCTTTATTTGATTTTTTTTTATTTTTATATTTTTTAATTTTTATTTTTTTTTTATTTTACCATTTTTTTTTTTCATTTTTATTTTAATTTATTTTTTATTTTTATTTGTTTTTGTTTATTCATATTTTATTTAATTTTATTTCTTTTTGTTTATTCATATTTTATTTAATTTTTTTCCTTTTTGTTTATTCATATTTTATTAAATTTTTTATTCCATGTTTAAATATTTATTTGATTTTTAATTTTTATTTAAATTGTTTTTAGTATATATGTTATGATTTGTTTGTCTTTTTAATTTTTTTATTTAATTTTCATTTTTTTATTTTAATTTCTATATTTTCAAATTTACATATATATTTATTTTTAAGTTATATTTAATTTTTCTTTAACTATATTCTTTTTATTTTACATTAAATTTATTCAATTTATTAAATTTTTTTATTGATTTTGATTTGATTTCATTTCTCATCTTTTAATTTAAATTATGTTTGTTTAATTTTGTTTTCCATGCAGAACTTTTAACGCAGAGAATACATTTTTTTGTTAGCACTAATAATTTTACATAACACAAGACTGTTGAGTTGTAATAAGAAATCCAATTAAATGGTTTATTAGTTCAAAAGGCCGATATTGAATTTTAGGAACAATTGTAATTTATAACAATTTTTTTTTCGTTATAAACATAATTTTTCCCAATTAACTTCATATGTAATTTTTGGCATATTTGCTTTAAGAAGTCTTTGTTGACATACGTTTGCTCCTGCCTGTATTTACTCAAACTGTTTTAAAATAGAAAGTCGCTCGTTCTCTAGCATAGATCTAAGTCTGCCCGATTGTCCAAACTATTCCTCGTGTCATCTATATCAAAATAATTAAAAAGGAAAACCACAAAAATTATCCAGTGCGGGAAAAAATGTTACTCATAGCTAGACGCATAGTGCTCGGGGTGTATTTGTGATTGATTTGGTTGGTGAGAATTTCATAGATACTTGTTTTTGCTTTAAATATGTGTAAAATGTAATTTTTGTCATTTAATTAATTTTATTTACTTTCTCTTTCGCTTGTACAGTGCGTGTTAGCATACATTTTAGCACTTTTTTTTACAATTTCCTTTTGTTACTTTACTATCATTTAGAGGTTTGTTTTACTAAATTGTTTTGTGTGTGCCATTTAGGTGTTTATGATTGGTTGTGGTTGTTGTTGTTGTTGTTTTTTTCTTTTGAAACTAAATTTTATTTGTTTATTATAGTTGGTGTCACACCAAATACAGACACAATTACAATTAATCAATATATATATTTGTTTATTTTCCCTTATTACTTTTTTTTCTTTTACTTATATGTATGCATGTGAAACAGCAGAGTTGTGAAAAATGCCCTAACAAACCTAAGTTATTGTGGAACATATTATTCATCACTTTCCAAAATCCAATGCAAATAATTTTTTTAACACCAAATATTTCAATACTGGGTCTTAATAATCAGAGAATCGTGGAACATAATGGAAAGTAATTTTATTTGAATATATAAAAAAAATATCGCAGAATAATTTTATGATTTTGTTGAAATTGTTAATGCATTTTTCACACCTTTTTTCTGTTTTCTTTTATATTTAACATTTTCCCCATTCTCATTTCCTGCATTTTAGTTTATTAATTATGCATATTTGTTGTAGCACTTGTTGCTTTTAATCTTTTGTATTTTGTATTTTCATTTTTCTTAATTTTTAGTTTTAACACTACTCTATATATTGTAAATATAAAGCAATAAGCGTCATACATCCTTTGCGGCCGCAACGGCAACACTTTTAACATCGTTATCATTATCATTATCATTATCATTATCATAATCATCTTTGTTTTTATATTTAGCTTTGTCTTCAATTTCCATTTCAACTGCAATCCTATCTTCTACTCCTTTTCCCACTTCCTCTTCCTCCTCCTCTTCTACAACTTCTCCTACTCCTCTGACGGCAACAATAGCAGCGACGCCTATTTTATTATAATTATAAACAACATACTTTCCTACGCTAAGGGCAACTGCTGTGGCAATGGGTGCGGCTACAACGGCGGTGGTGTTGGTGTTGGCGTTGGCGTTGGTGGTAGCGGCGGCGGCATGAATAGCTTGTGAGACTGCTTTAGCTTGTGAGACTGCTTTACTGGCAGCAGCAGCACTCTCCACAACAACAAATGTTGCTGTCATGGCTTTAGGATAGTTAACAACATAATCGGCAGCACTTTCAACGGCACCGGCAACATCCTCTCCGTCCGCGGCAGCAATACTACTAGCGTGCGAATTTGTTATTATTATTTGTTTAAGTTCTTCTTCTCTTGCTGTTGGCAACTATGCCGTTGTTGTTGCTGCCGACGCTGCTGGCCCAGCATTCGCTGAGGTTGTTGCGCCGCCGCTAACGGCATTCGCATTCGGCGCATTGCTCGCGTTACACTGTATCAGGCCACTGTGCTGTTGATGTTGTTGTTGTTGCTGCGTAAAATGATGTGGCTGAGCCGCCGTCGCCGCTGCAGCTGCCGCCGCCGCCTGTTGGTGCGCATGCTGATGATGTGGATGGTGGTGGTGGTGATGATGATGGTTGTGGTGATTATTGTTGAAGTTCAAGTGCAACGCGCCGGCACCGGGGGCCGGTCCACCCGCCTCAGCGCTCGGATGCTGTTGCTGTTGTGACGGCAGAGCCGAAGTGCAATAGCGTGTCGCCGTTTCGCCGAACTCGCCGCTACTCAAATCACCCAATATGCCACCAATAAGGCCACCACCGCCACCAAAGACCGCCGCTGCTGTCGACGCATGCCCATTATTCGCCTGTTTTGCTTGCGCCTCCGGCTGTGTGCAAATGGGCGGCGCTGCCGCATCGCCATCGATGAGCGTTGTGCCCGCCGCCAAGGACGATGCTAACTGCTGCTGCTGCTGCTGCTGTTGTGAATTGACATCCTCTACTCCCGAAAGCTGTTGTTGTTGTTGCTGATGCTGCGAGTGACCACCGCCTACGCCACTGCTACAACTACTGCTGCTATTCGCTATACCGCTATCAGTTGTGGAACCACCACCGCTTGTGCTTCCGCTGCCTCCGGCGGCACTGCAACCACTGCTGCCCCCATCGGTCGTGGCTGTGATCGTCGACGAGGCAAGCGAACTTTGGCCATCGTCCGTGAGTCGAAGGGCCACCTCCAGATCACGCAAAACATCCGTCTCCTTCTCGTCGATCAGCGTAAAGCGTCGATGTAGTGCGGTCAGGTGCGCAAAGGTCAAATTTAAATGGGTGTGCAATCCCAGTAGCGCGATTTCTCGGAAATGCGCCGCATAGAGATGAGCTATCACATGAAATTGCAAGCGTAGTATTTTGCGGGCAATCGATTCGAACGAACTCGGGAATTCGTTGGCATATTTGGTTGGGAATATCGACTCGTCGCTGACTGTCTTCTGTGTGAAGGTCATCACATAGTCGATGTACTGTGGAGCGGCGACTCGCGTCTTCTTGCCTTTCTCATCGAACCATAAGTACGTTCTGCGCGCGCGAAAGGGAAGGGAAGAATGAGTAAAAACTGTTAGATAAATGAAGAGCAAAGGAAAAGGGGAGACTTGCGTACCTGTTGCCGGGTCCGGTCATATCTGAACAACCAGATGGCGTACAAAATTCACTAATAGTTCCATAAACCAAATTCACGTGCTCGAATAGAGCCAGTGCTGTAAATAAAAAGAAAACAAATTTATGTTATTTCGAAAAATATTTAATTGTTGCTGGAAAACAATTTTATTAAGTGAAAAAAAAATTTTAGACAAATTTGTGTTGTAGTTTTTTTTTTCATTTTTTAAGACTTATCATATTTCTTAAACATAAAACCTTAGCTAAATTATTTAAAGATTTTTTATTGTTCGAACAATGTTTTATTTGAGAAAAAAATTTTTAGATTTTCATATAAAGAAAATAATTTTTGAAAAATTATAAGTAAATAAATCAATTAATTTTTTTAATACTAAAAAGAGCACAAATATTTTATGTTAATTTTTTTATAAAAAAATTATTTTAAATTTTTAATAATTTAATTTGTTGTCAAAACTTTAATTTGAAATTTTAATTTTTTTTTTCCATCTAATAATATAATATATGAAATTAAAGAATTTTCAAATATTTGAGCAATTAGAGATCTAGTCAGTTAAATGACATCATACATCAAATGGGGAAATTAAACACCTCTCATTAAAAAAAATGATAATAATCATTCTTAGGCCATCACCATACGCACGCATGTTTATCACGCATACGACCGCACACTCACACATAGGTGTACCCGTACACAAATAGGAAAGAATATTTGTTTTCTGTAGAAGATTGTAAGAGTCGATTATGAATGATGGCTAAAAATATGTATGAACATTGCGACTTTTTCACCAATTTCGTGGGATGATGCAAGCCATTGGCGAAGAGGAAGATAATATTTACAGATTTTTATTATATAATTTTTATAAATAGTCGCATTTAAAGCCAAATAAACAATTCATTCACAATGCGGCATACAATGTGTAAGAATTCGTTAAAAATAAGATTTCTGGTGGTCAATAAATTATATTAAAAACAAAACAAAAAAACAAACAAATACTAAACTCAGAGACGATATTTTGTAAACAAAAAAAATTTAAACATATACTGAGTCACTTGGCGATAATTTTGAATACTAAGCTGCGGTTGGGATTCTTTAGAAATTGAAAAAAAAATTTACAGAGAAGGTTTAGTTTGTAAGTATTGCTACTCAAATTAAAATGACGTATTTTGCCACGAGGAATTTTCTCTGAAACTTTTGAATGAATTCGTCCAATATTTTGAAGTTTCTTTCAGAACCGACGTAGTCAAAATGATCAAATTTCTTCAATGAAATCCATATATTATTTATTACTTTTATAAAATAAAATGATTTACTGGCAAAATAAAAACTAATTGAAACCTCCGAGTACTCTTCGAGTACCCTCCGAACATTTTAACCTTTCTGCTGCTGCTTTTCTGTTTTCTCCTTTTTTTTACTTTTACTTTTAACACAAAATATTTACTTTGCACTTTGAAACACTTACTGTGTGACGCCAGCCATTCGTTATAGTCTAAGCCAGCTGGAAGATCCACTAAGGCTTTGAGATCGGCTTCAGGTAGCTTACGTTCTAGAACGCTCTCCTCCAAATATAATTTGGTATCTGTTGAATTTTGATCGCCATCGCGCTCTTTGCGACGCGCTTTTCTGTAATAACAAAGAGAGAGAGAGAGAGAAAGAACAGAAATTTAATTCAAAAACTGTAATAAACAAGGCAGTTGCAAGATAAACAATTTAAATATATTAATTGTGGCCACAAGGGAATAACAAAATAACAAAATAGTTTTTAAAAAACAAAAAATAAATAGCAAGCACTTATTGCCGCGCTAGAATAACTGTACTCACAAACATACGCCAGCACAGCATTGATAAGTGTACACAAGGAAAACAAAGAAACTCATTGTTTATGACTCAGTTTGGTCAATAGGCAAACATTTGCACTATTTTTTTAATTTTTTATTTTTACTTAACACTTTTATTAGCACTTATAACGGTAAATATTAAAGTACACTTACATAGTCCTAAGTGTGTGGCGGTGGGGAGTGAGACTAAATGCAGGAACTATTTCGGCTTAAAGAGGCAACACTACCGTGTGCGTAGTTAGTCGCATTAATAAATAAGTTAATAAATTAAAAAAAAAAAATGGAAATTGCAAAATATATCACAATCATAGTGATTTGTAAAATTAACAAAAATGCTTCTATAACGCAGAGGCAGCGACGTCAAGGTCAATGCTTTCTACTGCCACGTACGTAGAATATATGTATGTATAAAGCAGTTGGTGCGGTGCACCTGTTCGCTTTCCAACACGAATACAAATGCTAGCTCAGCGCACACGTGATGAAGTGATAAATTTTCACAGTCATCAATTTTGCAATATAATTATTTTTTCCTTTTTTTACATTTATTTTTTTATTTATTTTTTTTTCTGTTACGACAACATCACACCACGTTACGCCACGCCTGAAGGCGCTTGTGGTCGGCGCGGCTTTTTTCCATAAGTGCGGAATATTTTTTTTAAATCGCGCGATTAATACAGCAACAACAATAACAACAAAAACACAGAAAACAAGTTGTCAGCGAAAATCCATTGATTGGCTTGGCTGATAGGCATAAAATCAAGAAGAAGAATTTTTATTTTTATTTTTGCAGACAAAATAAATAAACAATTGATTTTATCAATTATTTTGTGCGCTGATAAGTGAATTATGTTATGCCTGTTGTTCTTGCTGTTGTTGTGGTTTTGGCAAAGTCCACAAACAAGTGTATACGAGCTGTTAAATCAACCAACAGGAAGTGGCCAACTGATTATTTAAATAAATATTCACACGCAGAAAAGGTTTGGAAAATCCACCTGATTAACAAGGCATTTATTCTGTTTTCAAAAAAAAAAAAAAAAAAAAATAAGAGATTTCCGATAAATAAATAAGCGGCGTACATTTATTTTTTTAATATCATTTAATAAAGTGGAATTTAAATATAAAAAAAAAAATTGTAAATATTTTAATATTTATTTCATACCGAATTTAATTGCGTTGGTGGATGATTAAGCCACTGTTGTTGAGTATTCATAGCTCTTTTTAACGCCGAAAAAGTTGCAGGAAAATGTCCAAATATTTTAATACATAAAAAATTGACTTAATGAACTTCAACATTTCTATATCAGAATATTCTACTTTAAGTTAAGTTCCAACAGGAAAAAATTTATTATCTTTTCTGCTATACCAAGCACACTGGACAAATCGTTTTTCTTTTTTTCTTTTTTTTTTTTGTGATGAAGTCAAAACATTAAATAACATTTTAAACAAAAAAATATTTAAATTTTCAACAAAAATTCAAATTTAAAAAATAATATTGCAAGGGAAGGCAATGTGTTTGCAAAAAAAAAAAGGCTGCGGGTTCGATGACCAATACTTCGAATTGTCAAAATATCTCAAATTTTTTGCTTGTCACTACCTACACAGCAAAAATGCAATGAATATGAGCTCCTTTGCGGCACTAAGCCCTCAAGAAGTGCCTAAATACCCAGCAGCGCGGCCTCACCACCGGCCCACTCTATATGCCAAACGCAAATGAATGTAGAAAAGAAAACTTAATTTAATTAATTTAATTTAGCACACGAAAAGCAATAAAATGAGCTGTTAAAACTTTTAAATTTACAACTTCTGACGAAATCATAATAAAATTGAGAACAAACCGCTGGATGAGTGCACATTTTTTGATCGGTAATCATAAATTTTACAATCGTATTCTTTCTTTTACCCCACACAACAACCGTTAAAACTCACCCAGCTACGCAGAGTATCGTCTCGACGGAATCCTGTGCATAACGATAAATGGTACCGAGAGTTTCACCGATTTTCGTCGGTATCTCCGTAACTTGCCACATAAAACGCACCGTTTTCAGCAGACATTTAACCACAAAAGAACTGGCTGCCTGCGCCGGACTCTTATGTGTAGCGACGCCGCCTTTGCGTGGTGGCGGTCTTGGCGGCCTTGGCGGAGTAGTTGGTGGTAAGCCTGTCGTTGAGCTTGCGGTCGTTGTGGCTGTCTCTGACACAGCCGAGGAATAAGTGGATGATGAGAATGAGGATTTAGCGCTGCTGTTGCCGTCGCTGCTGCCCTCACTGCTCGTGTCGTGCGTCCAGCGCGCGGTGAATGTGGTGACAGTAGGATTGAAGGTTACCGTTGTTGAAGTTGTCGGCGCTGAGGTGGCGTAGGAGTGTTTAGGTGTGAAAGCGGACAAGTTTTCGATAGTTGGTAATATTGGTGAGGATGATGTTGCTCCAGATGTTGCGGCTGCAGATTGTGTTGTTGTCGCTGTTGCTGTTGAAAGTGTTGGCCTCGGAAATGTGGTCTCCTGCGCTGCGTTTTTATTGGTTTGTGTGTATTTTGTGTTGGTTGATGTTGCAGTGTTGCGGTGGGTGCACGTGGCGGTTTCATCGATGATTTGATGACTGCTGGCCGAGGCGAAACTCATCGGGATTTTGGTTCTTGTTGATTTTAACGGTCTTTTTTTGATATTTGGCACTTGAGCTTTAGTTATATTGTTGCTACGTTTTATTGTTTCATTATTTACTATTTTTATCCTTCTTCTTTGTTTAATTTATTTTATTTTATTTTTGAATTTGCGTTTTTGTCTTAAAAGTTAGTTCATTTAATACTTTACGGTATTTCATAAGTTAAACCACTTTTTACAGTAATTTTTACCACAATTATCACTCACTTTGGCTTTTTATTTCGTCTCTATGAAAATTTTATTTTTTATTTTATTCAAATATTTTTTTTCTGAATTAATTTTTTTTATCAATTACATGAAAACTTTTGGATTTATCACAGGCCAGCTGCGAGTTAAAAAAACAGTAACTAAAATGTACACTCTTTTGAAAACTCAGTACAGCATTTCTAGAAAATATTTATAAATTTTATTGACTTAGAGCCACCTGCTTTTTGCGTTCACACGCGGTTTACTCTACATATCTTTTTTCGCAGATTAAATTTCGATTTGTTTTTCAATTCTTTTTTTTTTTATTGTTATGCTTCAACTTCTTTCGTTTTCCTTCGAACTTCAATGCGTCTTTTTGTGTTTAAACATGTCTCTTCGCACTTACGCTGTTAACTAAAACCACCGCTCGGTGATATCAAGCAAACAGTGAGGTACTTAGTCAGGTTAGGCAAAAACAAAGCAAAAATAAAAACACAAAAAACACCGTACAATTTCTTATCTCAATCACAGCCATAAAATACAAAAAAGCTCCGCCGCGTGTAGTCTCGCTGCCAAAACAATCAGCAGTGCTAATTGAGTGACTGACGAGCGTCGTTTTGGGCCGCGGAGAGCGGTTGTCGATATTTTTCCCTAGAGGCCGCTTAACGCACTTCAACTGCAGGTTGTTTGGTTGACAAGTTCATTGTGTACTAAATGATGAAATATACAATAAGTGGTAATTCATTGGGAATGCTTTGGGGTACAACAGGCTGACTACACTAGTTTTTAACGCAAGGAAGAAGCTAGCAGAGAGAGTGGAGGGGGGTAGGTAAGGACTACGGCGCACATATATGCCTCAAAATACACAAAAACAGTAAATTGTACACATAAATATTAGAGTGTATAATGTATCAAAGGTCCAATAGTAACTGCACATACTCGTGTATTTAGCAGAGCGACATGTCATGGCGTATGAGCAATATTTTCGAGTTTGAAAAATATACATTTTTCGCTCTACTATGGCCAGTCATCGTTTGCCTTCCAATACGCCTGGCCGTGAATCAACACTTCTACTCTTGCGTGCGTGTGTACGTGTGTGTGTGTGTGGGTATTTTTATGACCCTGCCAATGAATGTGATATTGACACTCCATCAGCAATTCGACCACCCATAAGTGCTACAATTAAACGTTACAACGAATAACGAAGTGGCTTGTGTGTCGATGGTAAGTAGGCTTGTACATACATATACACATACGACTAACTAGCCAAAGCTTTAATGTCAGAAAGCTCAAATATGTGAGTATGTATGATATGTTTTTTTTCCAATTACTGCCGCTATTATTGTCGTTATTGTTGTATTTTCGCAATCGCCTTTATTTGCTTTTTGTGTTGTTAGCTATTTTTTGCATATTTTTTTTTTAATAATTTATGATGTTTATTTCGTTTTTCTTTTTTTTTTTTTTTGTGCAAGATAAAAGTACGGTATAAAATCGTTTGTCATCTATGTACATAACTGTAATCAAATTTAGACAAACTTTGCAATGAAACGAAATCGCGTGTTAATCGATTATATGGCGTGATGAGGGATAAAGTCAGTAAAAATGATAAGCGCAAAAGTAAAAAAAAAGATATGCCAAAAAGGGAAGAGAGGGGAAGAGGAGAGAATTAAGTGCGAGGGCTCTTTTAAGGTTGACGTGCCTCAAGTAAAAGAGATAAAAACAGTTGGGACATGATGTAGCTCAAAAAAAAAACGGCTAAATAACATAAATTATCCCTTCTTATTTATATATAACTTAATTCTTTATTATTTATTTTTTTTTATATTTTTTTTATTTTTTTTTTTATTTACGTGTTTTAATTTATTAATATTTTTATTTATATTATTATTATTGTTTCTTATTCATTTTTATTTCTTTGTTTTCCATTTTCTTTATTTTTTTATTAATTATATTTGCTTTAGACAGTTTAATAAAGCGCACAAAAATTTATTTATCTCATTCCACTTTCCTTGCAACGCTTTACCCCCAATTGCATGTTTTATTTGTATTAAGAAATTGTGTCAATCATTTCCTGAACAAATTAATTTAGCGATTTTATTTTTTGTATTTTCACATGAGCTCCACAGATATTGAAATTAAATAAACATTTTAACACACTTGCATACATACAATAGTATATGAATTTATATGCACACATACACACACATACACACATTTGACCACAATTGCTGAAGCAACTAATTTTCAATTAACAATTTGGATCACAAGAAAAGAAAAAAATGATTGTCTCAACCACAACAAGCAGCTGTCAGCGAAAATTTAAATAAACAATCAGAAAATTATTAAGAACAAACACATAAACACACACAAACATTGAGAGATTGAAACATTTTTTATGGAGCATTGATAAAATAAAAACAACAAAAAAATACAATTGTAGAGCTAAATTAAGAATAAATATTTATATTTGCTTTCGAATTTCACAAAATATACAAACGAATGTATGTACGCGTGTGTGTGTGTAAGAGAAGTTGTCAATCGCCGTGAAATCAATAGCATATTGCTAAAAGCCATAAGGAGGTGTCCTAAATAAGCCAAATGCTTTTCATTTACAAAATTTTTTTTTACGCTAAATCTACACAAACATACTATACATACATTTATACAGTGCAAATGAAAAGTTAACGTACCTCATATACACATACACATGCACATGCACTTACATATTTGATTTCGAAATTTTTCATGAAATAATTTTGTTTCAGTCGGGCATGCAAATTACTCCGTTGAAATGCGAAATTTATGCATTTTCACAGGCAAATAATAGAAACCGAAAAATAAATATTCACTTGGTGTGAAATTTTTATTTAAATTGTTGTTTATGTAAGAAAACAAAGGCAATTAGGGGCAAGTGAATTAAAATATAATTGATTTGAGGAGAGTAAGGGGGTGTAAAAAGTGAGAGACTTCGTTAAATAAAGTGGCGGTGAAAGAAATTTAAAATAATTATAATAATAAATAAGAACAAATGACAACAATAAACCGATAAGAATAAAATATAAGAAATAATGAAGTATAATACAATAAAAACAAATAAGTATGAAAAAGGCTAAATTTCATATAAACAAATTCCAAAAAAATAAAGTTGAATTACATGAAATGTAACCAAATAAACGAAAAATATAATAAAATTAACTAAATTAAGTAATAAATAAAATTAAATAATAAATAAAATTAAAAAGTTAAAATAAAGTAAAATTGTAATTTTAATAAAAAAATTAAATTAAATTAAATCAAAATGATTTCTCCACTCAACGTCAACGCATCACCCAAAACAATGGCATGTAAGGCAAATATTAAACAATTAATGCAAATATATATATCTGTATGTATGAATAGCACGCAAGAGATAAGCAGATGTTAATAGAGAATCTAACTGAGCAACGGCTCCTCTAACTTGCCGACACTTTTGCTGCTTCTTGCGTTCTTTTTGCTCCAACTTGGATGGAGTATTGCAACAATGATGATGTTGACATTATTAACACACCCACGTGAAGTAACACCAACGAGAACAGCAACAACGTTGGCTGTAATGAATACCCAAGTTGATATAACAATTTTTTTCGACGAAATTAAGTTTTTCCACTTCTTTTGCTTGAACAATAGTTGTCTAAACAAGCATACCTACACAAACACACACACATATGAATAAAGGTAACGTCATCTGCATTTATGTACATATATATATATATATATATATATATATATATATATATATGTGTGTGTGTGTGTGTTTAATCTTTGTTTCTGTGGACCCAATTGGGCCATGAATATTTATTAAGTATTTGTTGTTATTTACGAGTTTGTATTCCCTTAACGGTTGTGGGCACAATATTAAAACAACGGTAAATATAATTGTGTCACCGTAGCAAAAGCAACAGCAACAATATGTCACTGCAACAAGACAATCAACAGCGGAGCTGAGTTGGAGTAAAGATTAAGCGAGCAGTGCTTTTCGATTGCGCTGCAGCTGGCAGAACAGGAAGTAGAGCGGTGCGCAGGAGGTTATTTCGCCAAAGGCGCTAGAACTTTTAACTGCAACAACTGAGTGGAGCAAGGCAATTATTACAAAATAAATTGTTGAAATTCAGCAGACAGTTGGTTGGCAGGGCAAAACGAGGTTATGTTTTCTAGAGACGAGCAGCGTAATGGAAATTCATACATACATATATATGATAATAAGTGTACATGATTTGTATGTTTACATGACTTTTATGTTTATATTTAGTGTGTGTGTTAGCGAGCTAATGAGTCAATAAACATAAAGCAAGCACATAAATATAAATAAATTGGAAATCTACTAGACAAAAGTCTAGGAAAACACAATTTCAGTTAAAGCAAGCAAATTTCAGTGAGGCATCGACCTGTTTTATCAGTTAATCAAATAGTTGGAGCGTAACTTGGTTCATAGTTGATTAAGTGTGCGAATCATTCGTTCAATGAGATTTATTCAAAAAAATAAATTTACTGTTTTGATAAAGATTCCGGAGACCTTAAAATAAATGTGACACAGAATTTAAGAAAAACTATCGCAAAAAAAAAAAACAGAATAAAATGCAATAATCCGGAGATACATAAAAAATATTGGAAAATTCGAAATATATAAAAAAGTATATATACTCGCATATCTAAATAAGGAAATATATAGGAATTTTTAAAAAAAATTTCAAAAATGTGTCGCAAAACGTGGCATCATTATTAAAATTATTATAAATTGTTTTATCGAAGAATGTAAAAACATATCAAAAAAACAAAAAAAAAATATAAGAAAACATGAAAAAATACTTAAAAATTGATTGGAAGTATATCAAAGATCTCAAAAATGCAAATTAAGCATATCTAACATACCTAAAGTGTATCGAAAGTTTTGAAATATTTCTTGAAAACCTCATAAATTTTGGCAAAATACGAAATGATATAAATTTTCTTTTCGAAAAATCGAACCAATTTAAACCTTCCTAAAGAGAAATTGCAGACCTTTAAAGTAATATTAAATAACAGCTAAGCACAAAAATAATTACCGGCAGCGCTGCCGCTGCCACTGTCACTGCCTGCATAATCGCATTTGACATATGGCTA